CAATGCTCAGGTGATACACACAGGATGGGAGAAGTCCGCTCCATCGGGGAGAAAAAGAGACAGCTGGTCAAGACAAGCTCAGCTCTTACCCTCAGAACCCTCGCTAGCCTGCCCAGTCCTGGGACTGCCCAGGTCAGCTCTGCCTGCTGGCTCCGTGGGTGAAGGGAGGAAGATGGATAAATAAATAACAATGAGCACAACAGGAACCCCAGGAAACGGTGAGGCTGGACCGATGCTGTGGGGTCCATGGGGAAAGCGGAGGGCTGTGGGCCCAACTGGCTTCACGGGGCCTTTTCAAAGAGCAGGGCGGTGGGCAGACCTGTCCTGGCCGGGACATGGCTGTGTAAATGGGGGTCCCTGAAGGGGGAGCTTCTCCAAGTGGGCTGACTAGGACCCTCTAGTCAGGAAACAGAGCCTGCATACCTGGGTTTTACAAAGCTCTCCAGATAGCTCAAGCTCCATTCTGAGAAACTGGTCCACCCTGGGAATGAACCCAAAGGCCTTGAACCCAATTCAGGAATCACTTGCTGGGTGCCTTGGCTGCAGACATTCCAGGCCAGAGTCACAGTGAAGGGAGGAAGATGGATAAATCAATAACAATGAGCACAATAGGAACCCCAGGAGAACACAGGGGGAGTGGTCTTTAATTCTCGAAGAGTCTGAAAGGAGGAGGTGACGCTGTGGGATGACTCCTGAAGGACTTCTTGGAGGAGGTGACCTTCAGTCTGGTTCCTGGAAGGCTTCCTAGAGGAGATGACCTATGGGCCTATTCCTGAAAGGCTTTCTGGGGTAGGTGACCTGTGGGCTGACTCCTGAAGGTCGCCTACCTCAGCTGCAAAGAGGAAGAAAATCCTGCACACCAGGGGTTGTCATCTATCCAGAAGACAGTGACCCTCCTGACTCTTTGAGAGACACAACCTCCATCGAGGGAAACTGGGGGATTCTCCAAAGACACCGGAGAGAGTAAGACCCAAGACTCGTGCAGGGAAAACTGGGAACAACAACATCATTAATCCACTTGTCATCACTGTCAGAAAAATTCAGACACGGTGTTTCCGCCTAGCAGGATGTAACCACACCTGAGTACCAAAAGGGTGACAAATGACGAAATAATTCGGTGGCATGCCAGGAAATGCTTTCGAGCAGCTCTCAGGCAGGGGGGAGCGGGGGCGGGGCGGGGAGGAGGAGAAGCAGAGAATCATGATTTTTAGTGTTCGACAATTTCAATTGCAGAAGACTTCCACCAGCACCGATTCCAAGCTACCAACACGACCGAAACCATCCGTGAATGGGATGCTGGGAAGCGTGCAATTGGTCTCGCAAGCTGGTGCGGAACAGGGCCCATCAGAGGTCTTTGAAAAATGATTTCTTTCCAAGAATTCTGTAGAGGAAAACCCAAACCAGTCTTGGAAGGGGGAAGGGGAGAAAGAGAGGTGGGGTCGGGGGAGAGGGAAGAGAGAGGGAGGGAGGGAGAGAGGGAGAAAGAGGAAGAGTGAAGGGAGAGGGAGAGAGAGAAAGAGGGAAGGAGAGGGAGAGAGAGGGAGGAAGGGAGGAGAGAGAGGGAGAGGGAAAGAGAGAAAGAAAGAGAGGTAGGGAGAGAGAGAGGAAGGTAGGGAGGGAGAGAGAGGGAGAGAGAAAGAGATGTAGGGAGAGGGAGAGAGAAAGAGATGTAGGGAGAGGGAGAGAGAGGGAGAGGGAGAGGGATGGAGAGAGAGGGAGAGAGGGAGAGGAAGAGAGAGAGGGAGGCGGAGAGAGAGGGAGGGAGAGGGGAGAGGGGGAGGGAGAGAAAGAGGGAGGAAGAGAGGGAGAGGGAGAGAAAGAGGGAGAGGGAGAAAGAGAGGGAGGAAGAGAGAAAGGGAGGGAGAGAGAGAGGGAGAGGGAGGGAGAGAGAGAGGGAGGGAGAGGAGAGAGAGAGGGAGGGAGAGGGAGAGAGGAAGGGAGAGAGAGAGAGAAGGAGAGGGAGAGAGAGGGAGGTCACAGGTACTGCGGGTATGTGTGTCCCCAGGATGGAATGATCTGAACTCACATCTTCTGATAGATTAATACCACCCCAAGAGATTGGGATGAGGAAAGTTTAAAAATATTTACAAGAAAGACAACTGACAGAGAAACCTAATGGAAACCCACCAGCATAACCAGGAACCAGGGAACCTTTCTGAGTAAATGTTCCTCTTTCCCCCAAAAAGTCACAGCTGAGCTCTGGCTGGATTCAGAAGACCGCGGTGTCCTTCTTCAGGGGTCCCCATTCTACTGTGGAGCCTCTCGGCCTCCCTAAATGGGCCACACTCTCCCTTCTCCTGACCCACTAAGGTCACATTCCATTTCCAGGGCCTGAGACAGAGAAGCCGGGGCTATGCCCAGCAGCCACTGACACCCCAAGAAGCCGATGGCCCAAGGGTTCTTTCAGTCACTGCTCCTTGAAGCAGCCTGTAGTTGGGAGCCTCCCCAGGGCTCTGGAGGCAGCTCACGGGGTCCCAGCCCTGAGTCTCTCAACCGACAGGCCACAACCTGCATGGCCCATCACTTCCCAGAACCACTTCTGGAAAAAGGCTCTTTCAGAAGCTTCTGGAACATGACCATGGATCCATCCTTCCCCGGGAAAACACAAAGGACTCCTTCAAGGCAAGATTGTCACATATCTTGGGAGCTGCTGATGCATCTGCCCATGCCCAGGCGCTGCTGGCTGTTAGAGCCCAGAGTTCCCAAATATCGGGGTGCCCAGGGCTCAGTCCCGCCTCAGCCCTGCAGCTTGTCAGCCACCATCTGAGGCTGCCACTCTGCCATGCGTCCCAGGCAGTGGAGGAAATTCAGGGTCACGCCAGGGGTGTGTGTGTGGGGGCGAGACTCCCACACTAGATTCTATACTGCAGATGAAGCTCCCTTTCTTTGCACCTCAAGTCTACGTTGGCCATGGAGAAAGTAAATGAGGGGGTTTTGGGGTTGGAGCAATAGTACAGTGGGTAGGGCATTTGCTTTGCATACGGCCGGCCCGGGTTTGATTCCCAGCATCCCATATGGTCCCCCGAGCACCGCCAGGAGTAATTCCTGAGTGCAGAGCCAGGAGTAATCCCTGAGCATCACTGGATGTGACGCCAAAAAGAAAAAAAATAATGATGGGGCCTGATCCCAGACTCGTCATCCTTGAGGGCTTTCCCCTCAACCTGGGGGTCCAGGAGTTCAGATCCCAGGAGACATTTCTGCCGTTGCTAGTTTGGGAGCTTTCCGAGTTTTTGGATGCTCTCTTGCGAGCAGTTCTCTCTTGCTGCTGCTCAGAGGAAGGTGGGTCCCCAGCAGCCCGACACCCCATCTTGTTTGTGCTGAGCCACCCGGCTCCCGGGTTCTCTGCTCCTCCCGAGCTTCCAGTGAGGTGATGGTTCAGGTTCTTTCCAAAGAGCAGCAGACCCTTCCCTCCCCTCTCCCCCCCCAATAACGCCAACTCCGTGTTCTGTCAGAGCCTTCTCTAGAGCACTCAGAAATTTACCCTTCTGCACACCAATCCCTGCTTCCTTCCTTCACACTTCATGTGCCTGGGCACACTCATTAAGAAGGTCCCTTAGCTGATTCTCAAGAAATTATAACTTGATCTCCCATTTGACCCAGCAATACCACTCCTGGGAATATATCCCAGAGAGGCAAAAATGTATAGTCGAAGTGACATCTGCAGTTGTTTGTTCATTGCAGCACTCTTTACAATAGCCAGAATCTGGAAAAAACCTGAGTTCCCAAGAACAGATGACTGGTTAAAGAAACTTTGGTACATTTACACAATGGAGTACTATGTAGCTGTTAGAAAAGACGAAGTCATGAAATTTACATACAAGTTGGACTACATGGAAAGTATCATGTTAAGCGAAATGAGTCAGAAAGAGCGGGATAGACACAGAAAGACTGCATTCATCTGGGGAACATAAAGTAACAAAATGGGAGACTAACACCCAGAAGTGGCCGAGATTAGTACCAGGAATTTTGCTCCATGACTTGGAGGCCAGCCACACGTGCTAGGGGAAAAGGAAGCACAGATAGAGAAGGGAGCACCAAATAAAGGGTGTTGGGAGGATCCTCCCAGGGTGGGAGAAGCATGCTGAAAGTAGACTATAGACCAAACATGATTGCCACTCAATGCCTCTCTTGCAAACCACAGGACCCAAAAGGAGAGAGAGAGAGAGAGAGAGAGAGAGAGAGAGAGAGAGAGAGAACAAAAGGGAATGCCCTGCCACAGAGGCAGGGGGGGATGGGGGGGATGGGGGGTGGAAGGGATGCTGGGACCCGTGGTGGTGGAGGATGGGCGCTGGTGGAGGATGGGTACTTGATCACTGTATAACTGAAACCCAAGCACAAAAATTTGTAAGTCCATAACTGTACCTCATGGTGTTTCACTAATAAGAAAGAAAGAAAGAAAGAAAGAAAGAAAGAAAGAAAGAAAGAAAGAAAGTCCCTTAGCCAGAGAAACACCTTTGCAAGGGCCCTGGGTCTCCTCTGAGGAAGCCCTCCGCCCCGTGTGCCATGCTTCTCCGAGGCAACCTCAGCACAGAATGTGAAGCCCTCGGCGTACGACCTAAGCTTGGCGGGCCTCAGTTTCCCCATCCATAAAAGGCCCCGAGGGACTTACCTGGTAGGCTTCTCGTGGAAAGTGAAGAGGGTGGTGGGCTGCGCTTCCCTTTCCAGACACCAGGTAGAAGGGGTTAGAGGGTCTAACGCTAAAAACTGTTCTATCTCCGAGGCCGCTCACGTCCCTTGGACTTTTCGGGAATGAAAGAAGAATCTTACCCCGGAGGGATACACACACTGCTTTTCTAACAGGGAGGGGAAAGTGAGGCACACTCCCCAAGTCGGGGAGAGGGGTGGAAGAGTAGGAGTGTGAGGAGAGAGGGAAGGGGTTCTCCTCCAAGCTCCACAGACTTTGGCGGGGAGGAGATAAGTGGCCCCCCAGGCCAGAGCGAGAGGGCGGCTAGAACACTCATGGTCAGACAGAAGCTGCCCCGCTGCCAATCTGCACTTACTTCCAGAATGGTCCATTGTTCGACAACAATAGCATCATAGCCCTGCGTGGTTTTGCTATCTTCTGTGGAAACAGCTTCAAAGATGAAAACTCCATCTGTCAAGCCATGTAAGGAATCTGTGGGAATTAAAAAAAAAAAGAAGAAAAAAAAGGAGGGGTATGGTTTCTGGAAACCGTCTGTGTCAGAAGCCGTACAAGCAGCAAAAATTTTCACTGCATTCATTAATAATCCTAATCAGAACATCTTTTCAGCATGTTAATTAAAGAAGGCACACACAACCCCTGAGTCTAGCCCCCTCAGAATGAATGAGACTAATTTACCTCGCCGTTTTGAATAATATCCTTGATTTTATGAGCCCAAATTTCATTGTTAGCAATCACCATCTGATTTCACGCGTTTACCTTCCTCTGCACGCGGCAACGTCAGGAGGCACCAGGGGAGAACGGATTCCGAGGAAAACACAGCCATTTAGCAACGGTTTTCAGAAGAAAACTATATTTAGGTAAAGGAGACTTCTTGGTTTTTGGGATAATTTTTTTTGGGGGGGGGAGGCAGGGGGAGTCGGGACGCCCCAGCTCTGTGCTTGCTGCCACCTTTCGAGGTGGTGATTTCTAAAGATGGGAGGATGTGGGTTGCTGGAGAAACAGCCCTTGAGGGGGCCGAGCCCCACCAGACTGACCCCGGAAAATGTTATGGTGGGCACGGCTCTCTGGGCACCAGCCCTGAGTTCCGCATGATTCAGCAGAGGGGCTGAGGATGTGAAACTGCGGGGCAGCCTGGCTCTACTGAAGGAACCAAAGGACAGAGACGGGTGTCCTGCTCCCCACAGTGGGGTGGAAGGTCCCCAAATCCCTCAGAGTGCCCAGATCAGAGACTGTGGGAGAGAGGAACGGGAATGCACAGTGTGTGTGTGTGTGTGTGTGTGTGTGTGTGTGTGTGTGTGTGTGTGATCTGGGTCTGTCACGGAGACCGGTGAGACCCCTTTCAGAGACTCAGCCTTCCCATCTGTGAAGTGGGTCATCCAGAAACCCTTCCCCTGCCTAGGTCCTTTCATTACCAATCGCTGCAACAGCTGGGCTCCCTGCCTGTCCCCATTCACAGGTCAGGGCTCTAAATTCCCGAAGGACTGAATGTGGAGCCTGAATGTGGCACTAAGGGAGGTAGATGAGGGGCTGGAGCAATAGCACAGCGGGTAGGACGTTTGCCTTGCACGTGGACGACCCGGGTTCAATTCCCAGCATCCCATATGGTCCCCTAGCACCACGAAGGATAATTCCTGAGTGCAGAGCCAGGAGTAACCCCTGTGCATCGCCGGGTGTGACACAAAAAGCCAAAAAAAAAAAAAAAGGAGGTAGGTGACTGGTAAAATAGGGTCGTACGAGTAGGCCTGATTCCACGGGACTAAAGTTCTTCTGAAGGGAAGAAGTGGGAGACACTACAGTGGTGAGGGCTGAGGCGTCCAACTCCGGTTCCATCACATTGTTCCCCAAGCACTGTCCCCTGCAGCCCCAGAGGCTGCAAGGACCTGCTTGAGCCGCATCCCACCCTCTAGGCCCGTTCCTTTTTCTGTCTTTTCTCTGGGTTGGGGGATATCACATCTAGCCGTGCTTGGGGCTTATTCCTGGCTCTGGAGTTGGGGTCACTCCCGTCGGGGCTAGGGACCAGATGGGGTTCCAGGGATGAGACCCACGTCAGCTGTGCACAAGGCAAGCATCTGATCTGTTGTACTATCCTTCCAGCCTCTCAGGTCCTTTAACTGAACCGCTGATCTGGCTGCATGAGACTCACCAGTTACCCCACCCCACCTTCTGAGTATCTCTTGGGAGACTCCCCAAAATGGAGGAGGAAGAGATATCAGGGGATACAGCGAGTGCCCGCTAGTTAGCAAGAGTTCTGCCCGAAAACAAACTTTCCAGCGCCTTGATCTAGCATTTCAGTGCCTGAACAATGCGAAAATAAAGGTCTTGCCCAAGCCCTTTAGTCTGGGTTTTTTTTTTTTTTTTTTGCTACAACAGCCTGACTAGAGTGACCCATGTAGGATGTATATTTAGTGATAAACCACTTTGATTTTAGCAGGATAATTTCCATCATGTATTTTCCTCCCCCCTCTGCCCCATCCTCCTAGCAAAGGAAGGAGACAGATTCAGAAAGTCACAAAGTCCCCCAAACCACACAAGGGGTCCACGGAACTGCCAGTACTGTGCAAGAGACAGGAACAAGGATGAACACGGAAATTGAGAGATCATCTTTAGTCTCTGTCTGCTGACAGCCCTCCCACACCAGATCCACGGCCATCAGCATGCAAAAAAACAAAACGACTGACAGCATAAAAAAATCAATAAAGCAAGGGTTAAAAACACTAAAATAGAAAGAGTTCAAAGGGCTGAGTGCATGCTGGAGGCCTAGGTTTGATCCCTTGCACTTCAGGGGCACCCTAAGCACCCCTGGGAGCGAGCCCAGAGCACAGAGGTGAGGGGACTCCCCGGCACCACCAGATGTGACCCCGAAGGCGCCCCAATATTAGAACACCATTAGAAAAGAACCGTCAAGAATAATTAACGCATGCATCCTCTTCCTCTCGACGACCACTAAATATGTGGGGGAAAATTCAAATAATAACCGTTTTAATTTCACAGGCAAATGTTGAACAAGAAACGGTCGCCTCCGGTAAGGATGAAATGAGAACAGGGCTAAGAAAATCCTAACTGCACTTCTTCCATGCCGGGGGCAATCCTATGCGGTCTCGAGAGCCCAAACCAAGTTCATTCTCTTTGACCCAGATATCCTGCCTCTCATGGTCTCCCCTGAGACAGGAACCCCCAGCGCAGTGCTTCTCTGCCAGCCTCTTTGTCAGATTACTTACAAATATCAGTCGGCTCCCAAACCCTCATATTCAGCTACAGAAAAGCTGGGTATGGCGACACCGTGACTCACCTTGGCTACACAGTGTGTGGAAGTTTCTTTAAGGAGCATGGCAAACGTTAAGGAAATATGCGACATGCTCCCTGCGGTGATGAGTGGCAGAACTCAGGATAATTTGGATTTTCCGTGACAGTAAATTATCACTGTTTTATGCTGTGAGGGTAATTTCTGAAACACGGGACCCTTACGCCTAAGTGTCATCCAATCTGACTAGAAATGCCCAATTTCAAACCCAACCCCTGGGGTTTAATCAATATCCCGCTCCAGTTTCTTCCCGACTTCCTGTCTGAGAGGCTGGCATCAAACTGGCACCCGTGGAAGGGCGGAACTTGCCCCTCTCATGGGCTCTGAGAAAAGTTTCCCCAAGTGTGTGTCTATCACCCTGCCACCCCTGCCACCCCTGCCTCCCCCGACAGAGGTGACTGAGGAGAAACGGAACTGCTCCTCGGCTAAATCCCACTGCAAACACTTGGAGGGGGTGATCCAGTCAGCTCACTTGTATGGTACCTGTCGGTAGACACTGCAGGTCCATCAGGAGGCCAGACCCCAGTAGGGGTGCCCCCGGGAGTCCCTCAGAATCAAGAGAGGGACCCGAAGATACTCACTGAGTCCTTCAGCATGTTATCAGCTCAGCCCACATTCCTCCAGGCTTCTCAAAATAGGTCAAATCTAACACAGCAAGTTTCCCCATGGAAAACAGCAAGGCTCTTTAAATAAACCCACCCCGTGCTTTAAGTCTGAGGGCACCCGATTCTACACAAATGAGAAAGGCCTCAAGCAACAGGGCTGTCCTGCACTGCTGAGCACCAGAAGGACAGAAGGTGCAGTGGCCCATCTGGACAATTGCCCAGAGGGTTCCTGTGGGCAGCGGACGAAGACCCGGCCACGTCGGGGGTTGTCGAGGAAGGTCCCGTGCACCACCCTCCTCCCAGCGTCTGCCTCTCAGCCTGTGGTTCTGCTCTTCTGAATCTCAAGTGCTGATTTACCTACTTATCCAAGGAAGCAAGTTTAGAACAGCTGTCAGAACCTGGTCATCTGTAACAGTGGAAGAGCCAATGAAGCACAGAAAGCAGACAGCTGGGTTTTTCCTCGGCCCCTTGTTTTGACGGCCGCGTCCACTCACTCCCCATCTCATTTCCCTCCACAGAGCAGCCTGGAGGTGATGTGCACTGGGCTGGGTATAAATAGTTCCATCATGGGGCGAAGGCGCCGGATGGAGAAAGGTTACATTGCCCTCCATGGCTGGGAAACACTCCATTATCGCTGCATTTTTTATGAAAGGAAAGATGCTTCCCTACTGTGCACCAAAAGCCATTTGCCCTGGTAAGTATATAAATATTTGATGCTGGCCTTTGGGTAAAAGGCCACGTACCGTCCCAAGCTTATGATTTACAGGAAGGATGTGGGGAAAGGAGATTTACCCGATGATCCCGAGAGGGAAATTCTGCGAGACAAGTGCTCTTCCCCTGAGGGTTTCCAGGACACTTAGACTGTGGAGCTCCACACTGTCCCCAGGGGCTGGACATCCACATGCAGCCTCAATGAGCCCAAGGGACTGGGCTCAGGGCGGGGGACTTAACTCTGTGGGACTAAAACAAGGTGGTACATGCACTTTTATTTGGGGGAGGAGGGGTGGGCCACACCAGCCTGTGTTCAGGGATGACTCCTGTTTCTGTGTTCAGGTCTCTCACTCCTGGCTTCTGTGCTCAGGACTCACTCCTGACTCTCTGCTCAAGGTTCACTCCTGACTCTGTGCTCAGGTCTCAATTCTGGCTCTGTGCTCAGGGCTCACTCCTGCCTCTGTGCTCAGGACTCACTCCTGGCTCTATGCTTAGGGATTACTCCTGGCTCTGTGTTCAGGGCTCACTCCTGGCTCTGTTCTCAGGGCTCACTCCTGCCTCTGTGCTCAGGGCTCACTCCTGCCTCTGTGCTCAGGGATCATACCCAGTGGTGCAGTAGCAGGGACTGAACTGGGGTAGGCACATGCAAGGCAAGCATCTTATCCCTTATGCAATTCCTCTGGTCCCATTTTTCTTGATTATCGCTGTTGTTCTGTTTGGGGGCGACACTCAGCAGGGCTCCGGGCTTACTCTTGGCTCTCTCAGGGAGCACTTCTTGTGAGTTTAGGTGACCGTATGGGGTGCTGGGGATTAAAGCTGGGTCAGCCACATAAGAAAAGCACTGCTGTACTATG